CAGCCTTTGGCTCTAGGGATTCGCAGCAGCCGACGAGCCTATTGTCAACACATGAACAGAGCTCATATATCTCCAAGTCTCGACACGCATAACAGCTCGAAATCTGTATATTATCAGTCTTAATTAATACGAAAAAAAAAAAAATAAGAACATAAATTTTTGGTTATTTTTGTATAAACATTTTTGTTGTTGTTGATTTTGTTTGCATACATTTTTGAAATCATGTTTAAGGTAATGTCTGAAGCATTGGCAGAGTTTAAAATGATCTTTGATATATTGGACTGGGGCAATACCGGCTTCCTGACGGCCCAACAGCTGAGCGCTATTATGAAGCAATACGGTTACAATCACAACGAGGAGGAGGTTCAACAGATGATCGATGTGGTCGACTGCGATGGCACCGGGCACATGGGCTTCTCCACCTTCTGTGCCGCCCTCTGCGCCTCGATGACCATCTCGAAGTCATCGAGATCTTTGTAGGCGGCATACAAAAAATAAACAAATACTAAAACAAAAAAAAAAAAAAAATGCAAAAATGAAAAAAAAAACAAAAACAAAAAAACAAAAGAGAAGAGAAGAAAATGTTCTATTCCCAAACGAACGTTGCTCAAAATCCGTGACGTTGTCAAATTATCGTCTGTATGCTCAGAATTATCAATTGGATGCAAAAGTGCTCTGCTGTTTTATCTTCAAGTTCTCCTCCATAATAAATCTTTTGGCATTTTGAAAACTAAGCCCAGACGAATATCATTTCTTTCCTTAGAGCTGTGCTTGTTCAGAGTTATTAGATTTCAGATACGTTGGGGTCTCATACAGACGAGATATACCCTGTAAAGCACCTCTTCGAACTAACAAGCTGTTCTAACTAGGGACTTTCGACATGGTATTATCTGATGTAGAAACAGAAGAAGAATTATCAAGCACCTCTCAGAGCTAATAAACTGTTCTTAACAAAGAATTTTAGACTCACTAACGAAAAATACCCTGTAAAGCACCTCTTCGAACTAACAAGCTGTTCTAACTAGGGAATTTCGACCTCGTATTATCTGATGTAGAAACAGAAGAAGAATTATCAAGCACCTCTCAGAGCTAATAAACTGTTCTTACCAAAGAATTTTAAACTCGTACAATCAGATCTTACTCATCACTAACGAAAAATACCCTGTAAAGCACCTCTTCGAACTAACAAGCTGTTCTAACTAGGGAATTTCGACCTCGTATTATCGGATCTAGAAAATGAAAATATCAAGCACCTCTTCGAGCTAATAAACTGTTTTTAATAAAGAATTTTGACCTCGAACGAATTTTAATCACTAACGAAAAATACTCTATAAAGCACCTCTTCGAACTAACAAGCTGTTCTAACAAGGGAATTTCGACATGGTATTATTATTGCAAGGTCACAATTCAAGTTCAATGTCTTTTAAAGAAGATAAATCGGATTAATATACTTAAATAAATGGTTATCTTATTTACTTAACAACTCAACTAGCGATTAAAGATATATTTTATGGAACTTACCAGTTTTAGGCTCCGAATATTTGGCAACATTTTTGTTGAACGCAGTTGCTTTGCCTGAAAATTTGCGTTTTTGTGTGAAAAACTATTTCGTTTTTAAAATATTTCAAAAGTAAACTTACCATAGATACGTTTGATTCAAGCCTGGCTTTATTTAGCAGGACTTTTATGCGGAGATCTCGTTGATGCAGAATGTTGCCGCATTTCCGCCCATTTTCCATATCTTTCATGACACTTCTCATTGGACCAAGATTTCACTTTGAGCGGCGCATTAACGGAAAATACCGTTATGTAGCTTATATCGATATATATCGATAGATTTACATTAAAAAAATCGCAGTGAAAGACTTGTAAAATATATAAGACTACAATAGTGTCAAAAGATACACAAGTCTATCTATGTATATATAATTAGAACACATGAGAGCGGCATCTCTAACAATTATCTATCTACCGTTAAGAAGCGCTAAGATCGATATATATATCGATACATAAATGTTGCCCGACATGCGACATACTTCTTGAAAAGTTGCTTTCTCAGTAAACAACTTACAGAATATGAAATATATATATTTGGGTATACCACTCATTTGATCGGACTACATTAATGTCAAAAGATATATCTATCTATCTATCTATATATGTGCATAGAATACATGGCAATGTATTATTATGCACAAACACTAAGCACAGCGAGTTTGGGTGGTTGACTATCGACCTGGTCGTTGGCATAACTAATTTGATAGTTAACAATGCATAACACTCCACACGTAGGCTAGGCGGGACTCTCGAGCAGAGTGAGGGAGGAGGTGGAGCTGTGCGTGCTGCGCTGCTCGCAGAGCTCGTCCATCAGATCACGGAACAGCATGGGATTCACATTGACGCTAACTTTCATTAGAAGGAACCAATCACCGATGGTTAGATCCCGGAAAACGCGCTGTACATGCTGCTTGGTCATGAAGCGCAATTGGCTGCGTATCATCAGCTCACGCAGCGTCCGGCTGAGCATCATGGCCAGACGGCAGAGCAGGTTCAGGCCGGACATGAAGGCCATCAGCAGGAACCAGCACCACAGGCACACGAAGATCTTCTCGTTCAGTATGTTCAGCGGCAGTATGCACAGGTTGTCCATAATGCTGGCGGTGCCGCTGGCGCCATACTTGAGCACCTCGCACTTGGCGATCTTGGGAAAGACGCGCGACGATATGTGATTCCAGCGATCCCAATCGTACAGCGGTATTGTGGCCAACGCGTGCAGATACTTTGACCAGAAGCCATTGAGAAACACCTCCAGCGCGAGTATGTTGAGTATCTGGAAGGTTGCATTAGAAGATCGGATCGATTGGGATGGTTGGGTTTGGGGTTGGGATGGCAGCTGCTACTCACGCTGATGAGAAAATTGAGCAGCTCGCAGAAAACATATTTGGCCATATAGCAATAGTGCATGTCCTCGTAGTCGGTGGTAAAGTATTTGACCAGCAGCCGTAGACGTGTATTGTACGTTTGATCGGAGAGCAGAGCCTCGCCCACCTCCGAGCAGAGCTGCTTGAGCCGCTGGCCCTCCCACACCTTCCACAGGCACGACGGAAAATAGAAGACGAACGACTGGAAGAGCAGCAGGATAATGACCCATTGATAATAGCGCAAATAGACGCGCTGCGTCTGGCCGCGTATCTCGGGGCCAACGCCCTCGGCAATGGACATGGCGCGTGCGTATTCCTCATTGTAGTCCGCCAGCCGGCGCAGGCTGATCCGGTTGCGTCCGGCACGCAACGCGGGCGGCGTCGGCAACAGCTGGCGATCGCTGAAGTTATCCAGCTTGATGATGTAGGTGCCCATGGTCCAGCAATATGATTGCACATAATTGATATTCTTCTCCTCGCTGATGCACTGTATCGGATCGCCGAAGTATTGGCGGGCCGACAGCAGCAGGGAACAGGTCAACAGTATGACGACCGTGCACTTGGAATGTATTGTAAAGACGGCATCATAGATCCGTATCGATTTGAATTGTAGATATTTGGACAGCGGCTTCACTGCCGAATACATTTCCTCAGCCTCTGGAAAGAGTTCCTCGACTACTGTGTCCAATTCTCAACCTCAGCGACGCACAGTCCTGCGGCTGTTGCTTTCTCCCTCACTCCAATTGACTGGCTGAATGGCTGGCTGCTGTCAAAACTGTTAATTCGATTGCGCTTCTCTTACACTGCTTCTTCTTCTTCTTCTTCTTGCGCTATTCTGTTGCTTACTTTCTCTAGTTTAGTTCTTACAGCCTCTTCTTCTTCTTGTCTATGCTTGCAGTGCTGTTAACGTTTATTTAGTAGCTGTTGTTGTTGTTGCTGTTAATGTTGTTGCTGTTGTTGCTGTTGTTATTTTTGCAACTGAATCACATCCGCACACTCACTTGCCGGCCTAAGGGTAGCGACAAAAACAAAATGTTGATTGTCGCTCGGCTTTACATATTTGTTTGTGCTGCCCCTCATCATTACAATTTACTAAATTTACATTATTCATTCACATATTCGTCATATGTCATATTTTGTTTGCCCAAACTTCTGCTGCAACTGTCGATAGCAGCGCTGTTATCGATAACAGCGCGGCTCAGCGCCAAAAGTTCCCAATTCGCCCAGCTGCAGCTGGGCGCCACACGCAGCGTTGCCTCTAACCATTGCATACTTTTCGGCGCAGCACGAAAATGCTGCCTACAGTTTGACGGCAGCTGCGCTGCCTGCTGCACACAGCTTTTTAATAAATTGCTAGCACTTTTTTATTATTAATTTATTACATTTATTCTACAAAAAAAAAAAAAGAAGGAGTTGTATATGTAGACCTTGCAGCGCGCCCATATTCAGCCTTAATTAATTTATTTATTATGCTTCCAGCACGTCCGCGGCCCGAAAGTTCAATTGCCAATTAGTCCAAGTTCAAGAATCCAATTATTGAAGGTATCTGTAATTAGCAGCAAAATCATGAAAAAAACATTATCATAATATTCAAGCATCTTTAGTTAATACGTTTTCATGCCACGCACACACACACACACACACACACACACGAACTAATTAGCATAAATCAAATTAATTTATTTGGTTTTTGGCCCTGGCCTGCAAGCGACAGCTCAAAAATAAAAATCTAATAAACAATAAAAACAAAATAAGGCAACAATTTTCTGTACATAAGACTTCGAAACATGTACATGGCCCATAAATTAATTATATTTTATATTTAGTCACAGCAGGAATTTAAATTAAAGGAAAATTGACTAAAAAAAATTTTTCGAAAAAACTTTTGATCAAAATAAAAGTATATATAATTTCATTTATAGAAGATTTTATGGAATAGCTAGCATATGATCTGATCATATTCGAGGTAAATTTTAATCGATTTACAACACTGATAAAGACCGACATTATTTTAAGTTTAAGATCTGAAATTCAGTAGGTTTTCCCATTTGGGTGTCATAATTTTACTTGCCCTGCAATTGACAACAAAAATTTGATCAATTTACAAAACTGGTCAATTGACACCTGAAAATTGTACGATTTACAACACTGTTCAAGTAAGCGCAACATGAATTTATAAAATTATTTAATGCATTAAGAAGCATTCCAAGTTTTAGGATCTTCAATGAAATTACATTTGCTAGCTGCAAGAAAAATTCGGTAATATACGTGCTAATAATTAGTTAATCCATAAACTAACTAATTAAATAATTAATTTAATGTTTCAATGCGTAAACCTAATTAGCAACATAATTAGATACCAACTTTATTATTGCAAATAAAAGAAAGAAAAAAAACATCCGAGTTCGCAGCTCTTCGAAACAAACCTAAAATGCAAACAAACCACAATCGTAAAAAAAAAAAAACAGATTAAGTACGCGCTAGCCATGCGGTGTTTCCTGAACTTGACCTCCACGCGAACTACAACAACAACAACAACAACAAGAATAACAACAACAATAACGTGTTGTGTGCACACGTCACGAATCGGAATCTCAGCTCGAAGCTACCTTCCGAAATGCCGCTCGAGTTGATGAGGGCTGATCATGCGCAGAGCCTCAAACGAGATATATACGAAGTTCTGTATACCCTTGCTGTGCTAGCCTTATCATGAAGTGTGTAGAACATAGAAGAAGAAGACATCTGACATTCCAAGAAGCATCTACGAATTGCTGCATACCCTTCCAGAAGCTATTATAACATTGTCGTGAAGTGTGTGAACGACTTGAAGGACCCATAAAGCATATACATATATTCTAGATCAGTATCAGCAGTCGAGTCTATCGTGCGTCTATCCATCTGACCGTCCGTCCTTCTGTCCATCTGTCCGTCTGTCTTTTTCTATGCAAAAAAGTCTCTCTAAGCTTTCATCTTGAAACTTTGCACCGCACATATTTCGGGCCTATGCGGATCGGATCCTATCAACATCGGACTATTATATCGAATAGCTGGAACGATCGCAGTCGAAGGGACTAGAAAACTAGTATGAAAAACTTGTTTCTTATTAAATATATATTATTTACACAAAATTAGAATCCTTGTCAATTTTGGGTTGAGTACAAATTTAGCCCGCAATTTCCATATGAAAATATCTACAGCTGGCAATATTTTCAGTAGAACGGGCAATCATAAGAGCAGATTGCAAATTTTCATTTCAATTTTTAAAATATATATAAAAGGAGAGGAGAAGTTTGAACCAAATTCAACGAAAACATGACACTGGTTCAAACCGCGAACCGAACTGGTTCTTAAGTTCCTATGAGATTTTAGCCCTGCACAATGCCCTGTGATGGTAGAAATGCTGTCCTTGTAAGGAGACCATCTATAATACCTGCACAGCTTCCGAATCTAAAATGGGCTAAGTCCAAATGCGGAGGAGATTGCAAAGGTCTCATGCAAACGAGCCTCAGGTCGGCTTATAGAGATCTCTGGTATATGTTAGACTTAGATGTAGCAAAAGTTGCATAAGCTCTCACATTTGGCAGGGTATCTGAAGTTCGGCCAAACGGACTTTTTTTTTTTAAATTTACTTATTCTTTTTCTTTTCTGTTATTGCCATTCAATTAATTGCTTTGCTTTGGCTTTTATGGCCGTCGATCGTCGCCTTTGTTAGTATTTCTGGGTATTATTGTAAATGATTTTGGGCGCCGCATCAAATAAAAATGCGGAAGCAGACCGAAAAACCAGAGAAGAAGAAGCCAAGAATAAAAACGAAGACAAATTTTTTTTTTTTTTTGATCTATCAACAATAATTTGGAATTTTGGGATTTATGTTTGTGTGTGTAATTGTGACTTGCGATTTGTCTCGACTTGTTCCGCAACGCTGGGCATAACAATAATTAAGATACTAGAGCGTCTGGCCGCAGATGCACAGCTACAGATACACGAATGCCGAACAACGAACAAAAGATACAAGATACAACATACAAAAGATACAAAAGCTATTTAAGCGAAAGCACCAAAGTGCGACTGTCTGATATTCTCGAGATACGCGACTTTTGGCCATTTAGTTAGCCATTTGGCCCGGCAGAGATACGAATACGGCCAAGCATAGATACAGATACACAGGCTTAGATACAGATACATTGTACACTCGCGTTTAGAGTAAAGCATATAAAGCAATTGGCTATTATTTATGGCCCAAATCTCATTTAAGCCCGCCGAACGTTGCCAATCATAGAAATTGAATTTGTACAGCATTTAGTGGCGCATTTATCGCTGCACTTGCCACACTTTAAGCACATTTCACAAATTCAAAATTGATGTTATATCATTTGTATTTGTCTTCAAATTAAGTAGCTTGTATATGCTATAGAAATATGGCAAGTTTCGTTTGTTAATGCATTCCGAACTAGATTTATCTTGTGCAGAGCCCATTTAGGCGCATTTGTCATGTGCCTGGTAAAGTTCATGGTAAATTTCATATATTATATGTTCGCTGTTCTAATCCCAAGAGCTACAAAAAGTTCAATAAATTAATTAACTAAAGCGCAAAAGTTAATGTTCTTCATGGAAAAGTTAAACAATTTATATAGCTCTAGCTTGCAATTAAATTGTAATCCATGCTCTGTATATGCACATTTACAAGGTGGCAACACCTCAATCAACCGTCTGCTAAATTTCGCAATTTTAAATGAATTATATATTATTATTTCCTAAGATATTTGATGGGATTATATCTGCAATTCCTTTAATTTCAATTCAATTTATTAAGAGTCTCTCTTTGAAATTAGCTCATTTGAACCGAATCAGCTTGTGAACTCTTTAAACGTGATCATATGCACATCAGCTCATTACGATAGGCATATTATACTTTCTATTGGCCTGTATATAAGATCTAAGTTATCTTCTAACTAACCGGTGAACCCTACCAAAGCTTTATGCCGCATTTATCCGTATCATTATCAATAAGAACGAACCTTTCATTGACCCGTGTCTAGACTCTACCAGAGCGAAAATCCCCCTGCACAAAGAACAAGGTAATCGGCTTGGGGGAATTCCCTATATTATCACATAAACAGCAATACTGTGCAGTCATTTAGTAAATATATATATATATGCATATATAGGGTAAATTTCTTCTAAAAATCGATGCAAACAGAACATGAATAACTTTTAAAAAGCTGTGGAACTCTGAGCGAGTATTACGCAATACTAAACTCGTTTTCTACTAAAATAATATTTTCGTCTTTTTTTCTTTTCTCAAAGATTTATGATGCTTTTAACTTCTAGAATTAGCTGCTGTTTATGTTTTTCAGAGACATAAGAGTATAGTAAAAACAACTCAAGAGCATAATTAACTAATCACAGTGAGATTATATATATAAGCTTATGGTATATATATATAAGATGTTTATATATATAAATGACATAATTGTGGGAACTTTGAGCACAAATAAAACAGATTAATAGGAAAGATACTAAGCTGTGTTTAAGAAGCAGCTGATCTCGTGCTATGCAGCTATATATATAGATATATATAGATATATATATATACGTATTGGAAAGTGCTGATCGGGCTGTTCAATTAACGTAGGTGTGATAAAAGCTGGATATATTTATTTAAATTGAAAAACAATTGAAGGCGCAGCGAAAATATTTAACAAACTGGTTTATATGCATTCGATATATATTTAAATACATATGCATATATTTATCAGTACACACATGCATATATATATGTATATATATTCAATCCACTCGTTACCTTTGCTTTGAGACAGACAAAAATGTCGAAACGGAAACTGAATAAGTAAAAAATGAAAACAATGAAGCAAATATTTCCGGCTCGGCTGATTTACGATTGGCTTTGCATTTGGCCCAAGTCAAGCCCATTGATCATTTTATGTTAATATTTCTAATAAGAAAACATCAACAACAACAACAACAACCTTGACCGTGTGCCACGGACAAGGCTGCTAATTAGCCACAAATCAAAATAAAACAAAAAAAAAAATAATTAAAACAAGCGATTAACAGTTGAACGTTAACTGGTGCGAGGGAAACTCCTTTGCACTCACCTTGGTAACAAAATCATCCTCCGGCTGCTCGGCGGGCGGCGCCATTGCGAACCAGTTCCGTGCCGTTCAGCGCCGCTTCGTTCAGTTCGGTTCAGTTGAGTTCAGCTCGGTTCAGTTCAGTTTTCTAATTGCAGATGATTATGATTTGCACCAGCAGTCCATAAATTGTCATGCTTTTGGGCAAGCAAAAAAAAAAAAAAAACAAACAAACTATATATAAATCAAAATTCAAACAAAAATAATAATAATAATGCGGGCTTTTTTGCACTTTGTGTTTGTGGCGATTTGCGAACCGTTTCGTTTTGCGTTTAGTTTATAACTGACAATGGAGCCGAAAGATCGCTAACAAGTTCAATGCGTTCAACGTTGGCATCGACGTCAACGTCGCCGTCGACGTCGACGTCATCATCGTCTGTTATAGTCGCTCTGTTAAGCTTCTCGGAGCTGAGCCTGAGTTGTTCTGCTTTGCCCTGGCTTATGACAAACTGGTTCTAGTTCTGTTTCAGTTTTGGTTATTGGTTTGGCTTCACTCCCAGCTCCAGCTACAGGTTCTTCTTAATGTTATGGTTATTGTTATTGTTATTGTTGTCGTTGTTGTTGTTCTCGTTGAGCTGTAACACTTGGCTAGGCCTCTCTGGCTGACGACATCACTTGAACTTGTCGCTTGAACTTTGCGCGCAGCTGAGCCTCCGTTAATTGCGGTGGGTTGGGGCCGGCGGCTTGAGAGCATTTGAATTGAAAATCGCGGCAACCGACGTCGCAAGCCGCTTGGCATTGACCATAAGTGGCCAATGCGCGAGTCATGCAACACTTGGTCTCTCTATGTGTGTGTGTGTGTGTCGCCTGTTCTCTGTCTACATGTGTATGCGTGTGTGTGTGTTCATATCTTGGCTGTTGGTCTACGCCCGCCCGCTGCACTTTTGCAACGTCTCAGAGTTGCCCTTGAAACGCGCCACGCTGCGTTGCACACAAGCGTTCAAAACAGCGCGCGCTTGGTTTCTCACTTTCTGGCTGGTATACCCTGTACGCATTCCAATTGGGTATATTGGCTGTGCACCAGATCGCATATAGCATGTAGATATATAATTATCAGCTGATCAGCTGGACATGCTGAATCCATCTTGACTATGCTTCTAAAACGCTTTAAATTTAATACATACAAATATATATATATATGTTTTATATGCTCTCTTATATCATTCACAGTTCTTACATCCGTTTTCGATATCTCTTCAAAAGAAACTCTTTTCAGCATAACTTTGAGACTATAAAAACTCGTCTGACTTTATACAGGAGAATAGCTAGCGGATATATAGACTATACGCGTACCTAGCTAGTGTCTATAGAGCTTGCTTTGCATATCGATATTTATATCTGTACAGATAACGTATTAAGAGTTTTCCTTGTGTTTTGGTATATTCAGATATTTGGCTAGCATATCAAATCCTCGAAATTTTCATTTTCAAGAATGCATTATGCAGCTTGCAGCATGTGGGCCTGCTCGGCCCTGATTACAGGGCATCAGCTAGTCAGGCATTTGCGGTTAATGCGCTCTAACATGCTGTTAATGCTGTTGCTGATATGCTCTGCCACAGGCAGGAGCATATTAGCTATGTCATCAGATGCGATATGCTCAAATTATCGAAAACGATCAATTATAATGATATCCCTCTCCCTTCCCTATAATGATATTCCACTTTAATTGAAGAACTCTTTAACTACATTTTCGAAGAT